GTGAGTTCAGTCCTCTAACATTGAGAGAAATTACTTTAACCACTAGCCTACGGGGCACTTATACCCCCTTCCTGTCCAGGCCAATTTCCAGCTTTCAGCGCTGTTGCACTTTGAATGACAATTGAGCGGTCATGCAACACTGTACCCATATGAACTTTTTATCATTTTTTTGTGACAGAGCTTTATTTTGGTGGTATTTAATCACCTCTGGGTTTTTATTTTTTCTTAAATAAACCAAAAACCACTGAAAATTTTGAAGAAAAAAAGTTTTTTTCTTAGTTTTTGTTATAAAATTTTGTAAATAAGTGATTTTTCTCCTTCACTGATGTGCGCTAATGAGGCTGCAGTGATGGGCACTGATAGGCTGCACTGATGGACACTGATAGGTGGCACTGATAGGCATTGACAGGCATCACTGATGGGCACTGAAAGGCAGCACTCATATATGACACTAATCGGCGGCGCAGACTGGCACTGTTAGGCAGCACTGACGGGCACTGATGCACATTGATAGGCGGCACTGACTGGCAGCTCAGATGGGCACTGATATGTGGCACTGATGGGCACTGGCAGGTGGCATGGATGAGCACAGAGCTGGCACTGATGGACACTGACAGGTGGCGCTGCTGGGGCTACACAGATCATCAGTGTTCTGATGATCTGTGTACATGTCCCCCCTGAAGAATGCCAATTACCGGCTCTGCTCTCCTCACGAGCTGTCAGCGTGACAGCTCGTGGGGAGAGAAATGCTGATAACCGGCATTTCCCTGTTTACATGTGATCAGCTGTGATTGGACACAGCTGATCACATGAATGACCGAGCCGACATCTTCGGCTCTTTCCGTGGATCGGTGATCCGCTGTGTCCAAGGGACACAGTGCACTGCCGATCGCCGCACTGCGCACTTTGGGAGCAGCGCATGCGCGGTTAGAATGGAAGGACGTCATATGATGTCCTCCCAGAACAAGAGAACCACCTTGTGTCCGTCTTATTACTATATGGCAGGTGGGAGGCGGTTAAACATATTGTGAGTTTAGATTGGTGTAAAGGTGGTTTTGGGTGGTCTGTTGATTTGGATGGATACAATTTGTCCAACTTAAGGGCTGGGGTGATTGAAGATATTGTGTTGAGATTGGTCTAAATCGGGCTCTTCGATGGTGATCATTGTAGGTTGAAGATAGTAAATTTGCCAAGAGAGTATGTTGGCGGTGTGAAGCAAAGTTGACTGAAAGATAAACATAAAGGTATCGGGGGAAAACTGTTATAAAAATACTTGCAAAAAATGCAAGGAATATGGGTAGCCAACATGACTACTGTCATCCAGGGGGCTCGTAATAACCATGGCGACATTAGGTTGTCATCATGCATCAACTGGAATAGATTAGGATACATCAAAAGTGAACCAAAGCATTATGGCGGTGTGTGATGAAGTAATGGTCTAGGGGACCATCTGTTGGTATATGATATTTAGGTCCAGTCACCCTCCATTTGGTGGGGATGTTGTGATGCTGGTCTGTGGCCATCAGCAGGTAAGATATTCCACTCTTTTAGTAGATCTAAGCCTTCCTCCAGATTCCGGATTACAAAGGATCTGCTCTTATTTTTCATAAGTAGCTTAGTGGGGAAGCCCCATTGGTACCCTATACCATGGTTCCGCAGGGCTTTAATGACAGATAATAGCTTCCTTCTATTGATTAGTGTTACTTTGGATAAATCAGCATATAATTTAACACCTGCATGAGTGGTAGGAAAAGCTGATGGGTTTCTTGCCGCCATTATTAGCTTTTCTTTTATATGGTAAAAATGGACTCTAACAAGTACATCTCTAGGAGTAGAGGCTGGTATGAAGGTAGGCTTGGGGATCCTGTGGGCTCTATCAAGCGCTGCCTCTAATGGCCCCAGTGATGGGATGAGGTTTTTCATAAATTGTTGTAAATAAGGTATTGGTGCGTCAGAGTTGATCGATTCAGGAATACCGTGGAATTTAATGTTTCTTCTAGACCGATCTTCTAGGTCTGCAATTTTTTTTTTTAGCTATAAGATTTTGTTCTCATAGTCAACGTGAATTATCAGGGCCCTCAATCCTGGGCCTAGATTTTGCTGGGCTATGGGTTGTGCGTGAGAAAGGAGGAGAGGTCTCACTTGGGTCTCCATCGTAGAGTGGTACTGATAGCCTGGGATCCAGTGTGTAACCAGTTTTCTCTGCTGCAGGGACATTTCTCCCTGTTGTGGCGCCGGCACCATCTTGGAATCTCGTGTCACGGGCCAGATAAAAGTCCGTAAGTCTCTGCGGCTGTGCCGGAGACTTACAGTGGCATGGCATGGTTCCGGAGGACAAGGGGGTTTATATCCTCTGTGTCAGAGTGCCGGTGTCCCGTTTAGTGTGGGAAGTTGGGTTGCTGTAGCGGTGCCTCGGAGCCTCTCTGCTAAGCGGCCATCTTAGGAGCCAGCCTCGCATGCGCCCCAATTTTTTCCACCTTAAATGTGACCTATAAACTCTACAATTCAATAAAAAAAACTAACTGAAATCTTTTAGGGGGGTAGTTAACATAAAAAATGAAAATAATGTGGTTGCATAACTGGGGATGTGTTCAGAATTACGCAATCACATTCAAAATCATGTTAAATAGGAGTCAATACACACCTGCCATCATTTAAAGTGCCTCTGATTAACCCAAAATAAAGTTCAGCTGTTCTAGTAGGCCTTTACTTACATTTTCTTAGTCACATCCTACAGCAAAAGCCATGGCCTGCAGAGAGCTTCCAAAGCATTGGAGGGATCTCGTTAAAAGGTATCAGCCAGGAGAATGGTACAAAAGAATTTCCAAGGCTTTAAAAATACCATGGAACACATTGAAGACAGCTATCGATCAAGTGGAGAAAATATGGCGCAACAATGACATCACAAAGAACTGGACGTCCCTCCAAAATTGATGAAAATACGAGAAGAAAACCGGTCTGAGAGGCTGCCAAGAGGCCTACAGCAACATTAAAGGAACTGCAGGAATATCTGGCAAGTACTGGTTGTGTGGTACATGTGACAACAATCTCCCGTATTCTTCATATGTCTGGGCTATGAGGTAGAGTGGCAAGACGGAAGTCTTTTCTTACAAAGAAAAACATCCAAGCCTTGCTAAATTTTGCAAAAACACATCTGAAGTCTCCCAAAAGCATGTGGGAAAATGTGTTCTGGTCTGAAGAAACCAAGGTTGAACTTTTTGTCAATAATTCCAAAAGTTATGTTTGGTGCAAAAACAACACTACACATCACCAAAGGAACACCATACCCACAGTGAAGCATGGTGGTGGCAGCATCATGCTTTGGGGCTGTATTTCTTCAGCTGGAACTGGGGCCTTAGTCAAGGTAGAGGGAATTATGAACAGTTCCAAATACCAGTCAATATTGGCATAAAACCATCAGGCTTTTGCTAGAATAAAGCTGAACATGAAGAGGAACTTCATCTTTCAGCATGACGAGTGCTGGAATCAAATTAAAACGTGCTTCAACAAGGTATTAGTTTAAGGGTGTGCACACTTATGCAACCCTAATATTTTAGTTTTTTATTTTTACTTCCCTCCACCTAAAAGATTTCAGTTTTTTTGTTCAACTGAGTTGTACAGTTTGTAGGTTACATTAAAGGTGGAAAAGGTTCTGAAATTATTTATCTTTCTAATTTTTTTACATTACAGACACCCAACATTTTAACAGGGGTGTGTAGACTTTTTTTTATTTCCAAATATCAGGTATCACTGCAAATGTTCGAGTGACCGCAATAAATCTAGCACCAAAGCTCATGTTTAACTCTAAACTGATAACCTGTAAAGGCTTTTAACCACTTGACGCCTGACCTATGGCGTCCATAAAAATGTATTAGCTTTCCGGGAGGCCGCTATATGGTGTCCTTCCACACATGCACAGTTTGCGCGCTTGCAGAGCCGCGCAGCAGCGCGATCTGTCACCGGCCGTGTACCTCGGACACGGCCGATGACAGATCTAAGTACCGACCCCTGTTTCCGGTACCATGTGACCTGCTGTGACCAATCACAGCAGGTCACATGACAGTTGTATACAATGGATGGCTTCATTGATGCCATCCATTGTGTACTAGTGTCTAGCTGTAAATGGTCACAGCTAATCACATGCACATGTCATGTGATTAGCTGTGGCCAAATCACAGCTAAGCACAAAAAAAACCAAAAAAAACCCTGAATGAATCAATGTCATTCAGGTAAATGCTTGCTTATAGCAAAGTACCATATATACTCGAGTATAAGCCGAGTTTTTCAGCACATTTTTTGTGCTGAAAAAACGGCCCCCTCGGCTTATACTCGAGTCAACGTCTGCAGGGGGCTGCTGTCTCTTACCTAACTCCGGTTCCACGACGATCCGGTCCAGGAAGCGCGGTTTGCTCCTTCATTCGGTTCGTCCACTGGATATTCGTGTGCTGCTGCTCGGCTCCGCCTTCTCACCGGTGATTGGCCGCCAGAACTGTAGCTCAGGAAAGGCACACAGGCGGCCACTCACCGGCGAGGAGGCGGAGCTGAGCGGCCCCGCGAAAATCGAGTGAAGGAGATGCAGGTAAGTGTGCCGTGCTTAGGTGCTGCTGCAACCACATATGCTGGCTGCAGCAGCACCATACTGGAACAGGGGTCAGCGAGTGTCAGTGGGAGGAATAGTGCCCCATCATTGGTGTCACTGATACCAATGATGGGGCATTATTCCTCCCACTGACACCAACGATGGGGCACTTTTCCTCCCCCCCACTGACACCAACGATTGGGCACTATTCCTCCCCCCCCCACTGACACCAATGATGGGGCACTTTTCCCCCCCCCACTGACACCAACGATTGGGCACTATTCCTCCCCCCCCACTGACACCAATGATGGGGCACTATTCCACCCCCCACTGACACCAATCATGGGATACTATTCCTCCCCCCCACTGACACCAATGATGGGGCACTATTCCACCCCCCACTGACACCAATCATGGAGCACTATTCCACCCCCCACTGGCACCAATCATGGGATACTATTCCTCCCTCCCACTGACACCAACGATGGGGCACTTTTCCTCCCCCCCACTGACACCTACGATGGGGCACTATTCCTCCACCCCCCCACTGACACCAATGATGGGATACTATTCCTCCCACTGACACCAATGTTGGGACACTATTCCTCCCACTGACACCAATGATGGGGCACTATTCCACTGACACCAATAATGGGGTGCTATTCCCCCCACTGATACTAATGATGGGGCGCTATTTCTGCCACTGATACCAATGATGGGGCACTATTCCTCCCACTGACACCAACGATGGGTGATGGGGCGCTATTCCTCCCACTGACACCAATGATGGGGCACTATTCCTCCCACTGATACCAATGATGGGGCACTATTCCTCCCACTGACACCAATGATGGGGCACTATTCCTCCCACTGATACCAATGATGGGGCACTATTCCTCCCACTGATACCAATGATGGGGCACTATTCCTCCCACTGACACCAATGATGGGGCACTATTCCTCCCACTGATACCAATGATGGGGCACTATTCCTCCCACTGACACCAATGATGGGGCACTATTCCTCCCACTGACACCAATGATGAGGCACGATTCTTCCCACTGGTGTTCCCACCCTCGGCTTATACTCGAGTCAATAGTTTTTTGTGGTAAAATTAGGTACCTCGGCTTATATTCGGGTCAGCTTATACTCGAGTATATACGGTAATTCTTTGCTATAAGCAAATTGTGTAAAAAAAAAAAAAAAAATACTGATCACTTCCCCAAAGTTGTACTACTGTACATTGTGTACTGTAACATTGTATTACTTTGGACATAGTGAAATATGAAAAAAAAATCTTAAAAAAAAAGAAAACATTTAATAAAAAATGAAAAAAAAAAAAATATTTTTTTTTTTTCTCACACTGTCACCAGTCAGTGTCCCTGATCACCGCCATGCCAGTTATATGATGACGCTGTACTACACTGGTGACAAAATGTAAAAAAAAATAGTAAAAATAATTTTTTTTTATTTTTTCATTTTCTGAAAAATTATGACAAAAAAAATACAACTTCAAAAAACTCGCCATGCCTCTTATGAAGTACGTCGTACTGTCTACTTTGCAAAAAGTGGTCATTTGGGGGATATCTGTACTGTTCTGACATTCTTGGACCTCAAGAAATTAGATTGGCTGTCAGTACTTCAGGATTGATCAATAATCAGATATATCCCATAGTTTGTGAACTCTATAACTTTCCTACAAACTAAAAAATACATCCTAATATGGGTTATTTTCACCAAAGACATGTAACAGAATACATCTCGGCCTAAATTTATGAAGAACAATTATTTATTATATTTTATAACAGAAACAAAGAAAAATGTGTTTTTTTTTTCAAAATTTTCAGTCTTTTTTGTTAATTTAGCAAAAAATAAAAACCCCAGCGATGATTAAATACCACCAAAAGAAAGCTCTAGTTGTGTGAAGAAAATGATAACATTTTAGTTTGGGCACAATATTGTATGAGCGCGCAATTGTCATTCAAAAGTGTGAGAGCGCTGAAACCTGAAAAATGGCCTGGGCAGGAAGGTGTAAAAGTGCCCGGTATTAAATTGGGTAAAGCATCATCTATAAACAATCTTAAGTACCTTTGTTTGTTGCCATTTCAAAGACATAACCAAATTAAATCTAGACATGTTTGGTATCTATTTACTTGATGCCACATGATATGTTAAATTAAAGTTTAAATGTGCATTTGATAAACGGCTGCACAAATATCCTGGGATGTAAAATATTGCAACAGCCACCATTTTATTCCCCAGGGCCTCTGCTTTCAGAAACTATCTACTGTTTGAGGGTTCTAAATAATTTTCTAGCAAAAAATAGCAGATTTTACCATGCATGTGAAAAGTTCAACAATTGCTTTGGTAGGCAAGCTGTTAAAAGCTAGTCATTGATTGCTGGAACATGTTTCAGCTTTGTGCTGTGCTGGACTTCTGGTGTCTCTTCTCCTTTAAGGATTCATTAGTTACCACCAGACACACCTGTCTTTAATCTATATATTGCTGTGAGTGGGCTATGATGGGCGTTTTGTTAGTGTAGAGCTAGGGACCATGCTGTATAGAGAGGCAGTGTGACGGTCACATAGAATACAAATGTATGGTATTAATGATTCTGTTTTGGATATATAGTGTTAGGAGCACTGGTTATTTTGGATTGATGTGGGTCTTCTGTTGTCCATACACTTACTATAGACACTAATGCCAGACAGGATTTTGAACCTTAAGTTATTTGCTTATAATTGTTACCTAACATTCATGCTACCTATTCCTGGATCACCCAGACATAGGGCTTATGTTTCTTGCAGACTGACTGGTAAGTGTGCTTCAGCCATGCACCTTACTTTGATAGCTAATCACTGATTGGACATGTTGGAGGCGTTCAAGTGCGTTTGTGTTGGGTTTCTGTTATATTTCTGCACCTTTGAGGAATTTGTTTCCTCTGGGCATACCTCTCTTTAATTTTCATATTTCTGTGTGTGTGTTTGTCCCTGGATGGGGGCTTTGTTTGGAACTAGGGGCCATGATGTGCAGAGGGGTATTGATGAGGCTATGTGGGTTCCACATCCATTTGGCTAATATATGCTATTGGCACCTCCCAGCTTTTAAAGAATAGTTTGAGTTACGACTAAGGACCTTCCAGCATTGGGGCCTTGGACGGCTTGGCTCACATAGCCTGTTCAGTACCAATGTAAGCAATAAGTGTGTTTGCCCTTGCACACTGGTATGATCTTCCTAAAAGCTGCATAGTTGCAGCAATTGAGGCTGCAGGCAGAAGAACTCTGGGTTGCAGGCAGGCCTGGGCATTTTAGAGTGAGCTGTCTATTTTTCTTTTGTTTTTTTTTTTGTTTTTAAACCAAATTCCAAATGACAGCTACCGGCTCTCTGTCGCTTGATGTCCACAATCCTACTTACAGCACTCTTAACTCCTACCCACTGCCCTCAGAGCCCTGACCTCACTCCTACCCACTGCCCTCAGAGCCCTGCCCTCACTCCTACCCACTGCCCTCAGAGCCCTGACCTCACTCCTACCCCCTGCCCTCACTCCTACCCACTGCCCTCAGAGCCCTGCCCTCACTCCTACCCACTGCCCTCAGAGCCCTGACCTCACGCCTACCCACTGCCCTCACTCCTGTCCACTGCCCTCACTCCTACCCACTGCCCTCAGAGCCCTGCCCTCACTCCTACCCACTGCCCTCAGAGCCCTGCCCTCACTCCTACCCACTGCCCTCAGAGCCCTGCCCTCACTCCTACCCACTGCCCTCAGAGCCCTGCCCTCACGCCTACCCACTGCCCTCACGCCTACCCACTGCCCTCACGCCTACCCACTGCCCTCAGAGCCCTGCCCTCACTCCTACCCACTGCCCTCAGAGCCCTGCCCTCACTCCTACCCACTGCCCCCAGAGCCCTGCCCTCACTCCTACCCACTGCCCCCAGAGCCCTGCCCTCACTCCTACCCACTGCCCCCAGAGCCCTGCCCCTCACTCCTACCCACTGCCCCCAGAGCCCTGACCTCACTCCTACCCACTGCCCCCAGAGCCCTGACCTCACTCCTACCCACTGCCCCCAGAGCCCTGACCTCACTCCTACCCACTGCCCCCAGAGCCCTGACCTCACTCCTACCCAGGGGGGACTGATAACTCATGGGGCCCCTGTGTCCTTGCCCAAACTCAAAAAAGCCTATGAAAAAGGTACCAGGGGCATCTCATGGGGCCCCCTGCTGACCCCGGGCCCTCGGGCAGTGCCCGAGTTTCCAAATGGTCAGTCCGCCCCTGCTCCTACCCATTGCCCTCAGAGCCCTGACCACAAAAACATTTCCTAAATTTCTCTGTAAATTTTCTGTATTCCCAGTTATATCCAAAACGTAAACTTAAGGCATGCGTTTGATATAAATAGACTAGTGTCATGATCGCACATGTGTGCCCATACTTGTCCCCATAATTGGCATAGCTGCCTTTTTATACATCTGGTGATTGGTCTCAACGCATTAGAGGTAGTTTCAGGTGAGAACTAAAGGGCATAAGCTGGATGCCTTCACACCAATTGGGGTTTTGCCTTTGCTCCTGATGCAAAGGTTTGTGTGAGACATTTTTTTGTCTATATTTTTGGGGATTTCTTTGTTAATTGTAAAACAATCACTTAAGTCACAGGTCACACTGCTGCAATTTCAGCATGATTTCTGAAGACTTAATTGCTACTTGTGAAGATTTTCAATGATTTTTTGCGATTTGCAGTGCAATTTCCTTTCTACATATATGAAATAACAACAACAACTGCAGGAAGAGTGCTAACACACTGACGTTCATTAGACAAAATTTCAGGTGCAATTTCAGTTCACAAATCGCACTTGTATGACCAGGCACTAATAGAAGAAAACCGTGAAACATGGTTATACAATCTGGGAGCTACCGTAAAATAAAAAAATACCTTGGTACAGGGGCGGACTGACAATTTGGAAACTCAGGCACTGCCCGAGAGCCCGGGGTCAGTAGGGGGCCCCATGAGATGCCCCTGGTACCTTTTTCATAGGCTTTTTTGAGTTTGGGCGAGGACATGGCCCCCATGATCCCCTATTGCCTGGGGGCCCCATGAGTTGTCAATTCGCCCCTGCCTTGGTATAAACACCTTGTCCTTAAGTGAAAAATAAAGGGTTTGCTTAACTGCTTCCCGTCCACCCTGTAGCAGAAGTACTGTTACAGGGCGGCACGGGCGCCCAAAATTGTGTGTGTATATATGTGTATGTATGTGTGTGTATGTATGTGTGTGTATATAATCTTGCATTTCAGGGTAGGCGCGAGCCGTCATTAGCGGCTGTCAATTACCAGGTCCTGGTCGGTGATTGCCGAGCATCTTCAATGGGGAGAGAACTGTTTGTAAACAGTTCTCTTCCCTGTCAGCTCTGGCATGCTGCTTTGCAGGGCTTTGCAAAGCAGTGTGCTTACAGTGAAGCACAAACACAGCAAAACACAGCGCACAGTTAACCCTTTGATTGCCCGAGATGTTAACCCCTTCTTGCCCAGTGCCATTAGTGCAGTGTCAGTGCTTTTTAATAGCACTGATCACTGTATTGGTGTCACTGGGGATGTCAGTGACACCAATACAGTTTCACCCAGTGTTAGAATGCCTGCTGCAGTCCCGCTATGTCACTGATCGTCAGCACTACTAGTAAAAATGATTAAATAAAAAAATATCCCAGTGTGTGTATATAAATAAACCAATTTATTTACACATATTGGTATTTTTTTTATATAGCGAAGACAT